CTCGTCGCTTCTCATTCGGGTTTCTGCCTAGGGCCTAGAACGCATCATCCGAGTATATGCAATTCCATTTCCTTTTGCATATTCGTTAAACAGTAGGTTCTTGGATGGTTCGCCGCCTGACAGACCTTCCCATTACTTAACCTTTCTAGTCGGGCATAGGCACCCTTAGTTCTAAATTCAGTGATGTGCAACAATGCAGTGTGGTCCGCAGACAACTTTTTTGTCGTAAGTTTAGTCCGTTCCTGGCGAAGAATATAGCAAGCGTCTTTTAGTTTCTTCAGAATTATGCAGCTCAGTATACTACCCCGAATGCACCAGAATGCGATTTCGGGTCACTTATTGTATAGATCTAAATCATCTCTCTTTGGCTGTTCAGCAAGACGGCCTTTGTTTAGACGCATCAGTAGCTCAACTGTGAAATGCCCACAAACTAAGCAAGGGGTCTCGGTGACTTCTATGGCCTACAGTAGGCCTGCGAAAGAGTGAAGGATTGGTATGTGGTCAGAGGCCCCATTCCGTAAGAGTAAGAGTTCTGTTACTGAGGCTTCAGTGCTGAAGCCTTTGGAAAGCAAAGATATTAAGGAGAGAACAGGAGGAACCTTCATTTCAGTCATCAGCTAAGTTTCCTCCCAAAATTTTTGCGGAAGTGTCGTGAGCATACCCCCCTAGGCCTCAGGTTTCAGTGCATCTGGATGAAATATGCCTGATCCTTCTGCTTTTTCGACTACGTTTCAGTGACTGTGATCTTTATGACTTCTGCTGATGTCCAAGAGTTGTTGCTCACTGTTAGTTATGCTTCTGATGTTGGTATTTATGGGTGAGCTGTGGTCGATTCAGAAGTCGTTTGAAGTTATCAACCCCGAGTGTCCTGTGATCAGTCTCTTTGGTAATCGGGTTTTCTTCAGTATATTCTTATGTTGATCTTATCTCGAATAGTGTACACTCGTCAAAACATACTGGCGTCTTGCTTACCTACAGCCTGTTCGGATTCAGTCGCTGTGTCGCGAAGTTGTCTTTTCTCATTCATAGCACCCTATTTCGCTATGTCTGTTCAGTGTGCTTCAGACTGAACACAACTCCTCCTTTTGCTGATGGTCTTTTCACTGGTTCAATTTTTGTTCCACTATCTGTCTCTCCTATGTTGGTGTCCAAGTGTCCAAAGGCCATATTTTTTTGCCCCTTTTTCTGTCTCGGAACAGCTATAAAAATTTCCTTCGGCACCACTTTCAGAGAGTCCCGGTTTTCATTCACGCAGGTTTCCTCGATGATGCTATGTAATCGCTCGTTCTTTTTTTTAATATCGGTATGGGAGGTAAAATGTGTGGTTCTATCTTTCAGTTCATGGATGCCGAACGTGAATTGTAGTCTATCTCCAGCCTCTTTAACAGCCATCATTTTGAACTTAAGGGTTCCTTACACCAGATGACTCTCTTAGCCCACATTTGCTTCTCTCCTGGGTTTGTATCAAGCAGGCTACCTCCACTTAACTCAGATTGAGCTAAAGTTTATCTGACTATTGGCGTGTCTGTCAGGTGAAACCCTGTATTGGAGCTGCTGCCACCAATCACCACGACAATAAAGACAGAAACCTACACAGAGTTCAATGTCTCTGGAACTACATTCCGTTCCATCCCCACTAACTGAGAGCATTCGATTCTGATGGTGGCATCACAATAGCCATAGGCTCAGTATGCACGTGGTATTCGCCTGGGTGACAGTAGTAGATTATTGACAATTTGGAGGGGCCATTTCCATTTCAAATGATACTATGACATGTCTTTTCATTTGTTCTACAATCTGGGCAGCCTCTTTAGCCTTAAACACGGTGCCATCATTCCATGCTCCTATCTTTACTTTTGCTCTAGTTAGAAGATACATTATTCAGCTGGCTTCTTATAGGCTTTGACTTTTTTGCGTTATTCATCCTCGAAGTAAGCCTATTAAATGGTTCTAGCGGGTGTAAAATTATATTTACGTAGTCCATAGATTCAGTAGAGATTAGGTCATTCTTACATGACGCGATTACTGAGATGAATATGTAAGATCTATTACGGCTTAGGGTAGACCTCAACTCTAAACACTCTTACAAAACTTCTTCACCGTCTTACAACCTTAGCTGTACGCTACTCAACGTGCAAATACTGACGAACTGAATCAAGGTAAAAAGACTTGATATGACAAGTGTATCTGGGACAATTATATTTTACACAACGAAATATGAAATTCAATAAATAAAGAGGTTGTACAACTTATCCGCAGACGTCACTGGAGGTAGGCTCGGAGAGTGTGCTGAATGAAAGCACAACAAGAGAGCGAACCAATGAACGTACGGAAGAGTCACAACTCAAAAGATAAGAAGGGTGTCAAACATGGGTGAGCGAGTTTAAACAAAAGTTCAAGGGTACAATGTGCACTACAAATATTAGATTGCCTTTCCCGAAGTAGAAACCTGGCATTTTCACTGGTAACATTAAGAGTGTTCAGTTTTTGTGCCCAGTAAGTCACATGTATTCCCGAGCTAATGCATGATAGAAGCACACACAGGTGTTCATATCAAGTATATGATATGATTATGAGCAATAGTTTGTGCTCGAAACGTCATCAGTTAATATTACTGTACAACACTGTGTGATTTATCAAAGTAAAATCTTATCCATAATGGAGTTATACTCTACCAGTACCCAAGTTCCAGGAGTCATTTTGTGGGATATTCTGTTTGAGGTGGTGTGTACATATTCTAACCTCTAAGTGAAGTGTACATAAGAAAATTAGTTTCCCTTCAACGGTCAGTGCTTAGTGCCTGATGCTATCAGCATTAACGCAAAATTTCCAACGGAAGCGGCTGATTTAAAATTAGAATTGATCATCGAGACAAATAGGAATTGCTTTAAGATGAGTCAGGTGTCAGCACATCAAATGTTTACTGAAATTTCTGTTTGGAGTTAACTCAGGTGCACAACACGATGGAGTTTAATCTTGTCCATGTCCGAGCAATGCTAAGAATAAACATATGGTCAGATTCGTTTCTGGATAATCTTGGATTGTCAGGAGCCAGTCACCATGTTTTAGAAGTCACACATTGCCCCGTGGCTGTATGTTATGCGTAATAAGTCGTTTGAAGGACAAATAAACCTACGTAGTAATTGGAAATAGGCTAAAAGTTGCGTCAACTATTACCTTCTTCTTGGCCAGCAGCAACATCTGATCTAAGCAGTTGATTCCTTTAACATATGGTCTGTCGGTAGTCATCAGAGGACATCTACGCGCAGATCGTCATGGTTAAGTGGATCCGTGACTTTTTGAGACATTGTGATGCCAGAGAGCGGAAATGTCAGTTGAATAGGTTTGCTTAAAACTACGTACCACTAAACATATTCTGATGGAGGATACGATGGGTCTTTCCCTTTGAAGCCTATATATATATATATATATATATATATATATATATATATATATATATATAGTATCTTAATAGTCACAGGAATCCAAGTTTCTGAAAATTATGTCGTCTCCGAAGACGTCAAAATTGAATTTGCTCAGACGCTCAAGTATTCAGTAATATATCTGTGCAGTTTGATAGAAAAACAAAAATAAGAACTTGAAAAGGCAAAGGAAACGTTAACACCAACTACCTGTTAGAATTTATTGAGATATCAAAACTCATCAGTTAGAATGAAGTAGTAATCAAAGCAGTGATGACGATATTAAAAGAAGATAATTCAAGGCCTCTTGAATGTTATTACAGAAGTAGAGAATATCTAAGCATTTTACTGAGTTCTTGGCAAAATGAGAATTACACTAAGATTCCACCCCAAAAATCATCTCAGAAACAAGCTTTATTGACCAGACTGCGGGAAATAATCTAATTTACCGAAAACTGAACACTGAACTATATGCGTTAAAATGGTTGGCTACAATTATTTAAATTATCAAGGAATGTGAATCCAGGTATATGTATCATGACCGGACTCACTAAGATAAGCGTAGCAGAAAACACTAAGCTGTTGGAGTGTATGCTTCAATAGGCTTCAATACAGTGACACAATAGGATGGGACGAGACAGTAGTTATTAAGACTGACATTATTAAGTGAAAAAAAGAACTTAACCGCTAAATCTTTGCTTAACATATCAACATGACACTAATGAAATAGGAATGGTGCAACCACAATATCAGATATAAAGAAAATATTTTTACAGCTGAAATTCAAACACTGAAAGATAGTGTAGATAGACGAAGAAAGAAAGTTACGCGAGTACTTTGGTACTGTTGTGATGAAAGCTGTCTGCTAGTCAAAATTGGTAGAGAGTAATTTACGTCGATGTTTACGTCCCCAATAATGGTCATGAGAAAAATAAGAAGAAAAGCTGACTCAACAACCAATCACAGCAGACTTTGCGTAGGCGGATACAATTCGCAGATAGATAATCTGAACTTCAATAAACGGCCACATATAGATGAAAGATTAACGTTCAGCGAGAAACCATCAATCAGAAGACTGTGTTTGTTTGCTTTCAATAATCTATAATAATGTGCATGAAAATCCATAAATATCTGTTGATTTCCTAAATAAACGATTTGTTGCCTGGCCCTTGTCTTCTGTCGTTATACCAAGATAATCAGTAAATTGTCAAAAACGCCATCAACAAATGTGGTATTGATGCGCGTTATATTAAGTAAATTATTGAACTATTGTATCACAATCCATCCCAGTGACCAATTTTCATTCACACACTCACTAAGACTTTCAGCAGTCTAGCCATTATTCCTCTTTCACTTTTACTTATGCTTTTCCACTTGGGAGAATATATTTATTCTCACCTCTTAACTCTTTGTTATTTATAGGCTGAGATTTTGTAAATTCTGGTTTAATAATACTTTGATAAAGCTATTAGCATCAAATAGCGAAACGTCAGTAAAAACAATATCGTTTTGTTTTTCATTCATTGGGAAATACAAAAACCTTTATCTTAATGAATATATTCATTCATCTAAAGATATTTATGCATTCATGGTTCATAATTCTTAGAAAAGGCTTAGTAAAATCATTTGATTACGTAATCAAACAATGGTTAGTGGATTGTATATTCACTTCTCTGTATATGTATACTTTCCGAAAATTTATAAATGAGGATTTTTGAAAATTATTTTAACTTTACAAAGCATTTGATTACGTAACCAACAATGAAGTAATCAATGTTCACTAATCTGGATGTAACGACTCAATAAAAACTGGACAGTTAACAAAAATGTACGTTAAGCCATTTTGAGTTATTTCGCTTTCTATATAATTAGATATCTTTTACCGTCATTATTTGTAATGGTTAGAAGCGGAAAAGAACAGACTGATTACCATTTAAGTTTTCATTTATTTGTAATAATCTAGTTTCTATTAAAAAGAATTATTATTACCATCATTTATCGTTATTATTATTGTTATTATCATTACCACATTTCTTGCCAGTCAATGCAAGTAGTTTTTTTATTTTGTACAGGCGAAATTTATGTAGTTAGCCAGAATACAGATCAGATCACATTCATCATGTTAATCCTACAAAAGTAAAATAAGAAAAAAGTACGCTGAAAATACTGAAAATAAGTAGTAAGATTATTAAATCACATTTTGGAAATACAGACAGTTCACCAAACACTGGTAATTTAATGTTGTGCAGAAGGATTTAGAGTTTTTGTGTTTCACAACTTGCAATACTGTCTAACTGCTTAGTGCTCATCAGTGAAACACTCAGATTGGTCACCTTTAATTCCAATGGTAAAACAAGAAACATGAACGAATTTACGTTTTAGGATTTCATCATGAGCTGACATTAGTTAGAGAACCATTGGAAACCCTGGGAGTACTGGACATCTGTTTCCTACAAACCATCACTTAAATTTACGTTTTCTTCAGTAATGCTACAGTCTAAATATGTATAATTTCGTGTAAACTAATATGTAGTGCATTGTATCAACAAGGGCTTTTGCAAACCCTTAGATTTAGCACAACATCAGATTAAATTCGATTAGGCCACTTTAGCTTCTATGGTTTAACATGTACATCAGGCAACAACCCTGTTGATAGACTGTCCGACATTCTGCCTGATTGCTGTTGTACATGGAAACTGCCTGTTTGAGAAGCAGAGCATATATATACTGAACACTCGTTAGTAAGTAACTAGTGGCACGCGTCTAGTCCTTTTGTGGTGCAGACTGGTGCTAACTTGACTGGTAGAAAACTACCAAGTGTTCAATCAAAACATCTAATACAGGAGGTCATTCACTAGCCCGAATAGCACAGCAGTAACGTCCCTGACCGCACCACTGGGTGACTTGGGTTCAAATCCCAGAGACGACATGAGCTCCTTCAAGCTTGCAGACACACTTTGCTGATGAGTTCCAACCAGCATAAAACCCAGGTTCCAATTGCCTCCGACCATTTAATAAATATATAGTTCTTGAAATAAATGGCCATTCTATGTAGACTGTTCACTATGGATAAGGTAAGTTAATTTTTCCGGGAACTCTCTGGAGTGAATAGTAATAAATGAGCCAAAGGAGGTAGTAAGAACGTGAAGGATTTACAAATGTACTGACCAAATAAAAACGATGAATAAAATATATCTGAATAGACACACAATTTTGTTTCATATGTACCTGATTTCCAATGGGTACTTGATTTCTAGCGCTATAATCCACTTCACGATCAAAATCTGGACTTGTTAACCAGGCTTTCAAACGATTTAATGAAACACCATGTGATAGTACAGTTTCATAGAGAATAGCAGCGAATAAAGAACCACACAGAGGACCGACAAAATAAATCTATTTGGGGATAATTTGAAAAAAAATCAACGGAAGTTGGAAAACGACTAATTTGGCGCTGATTAATTTATCAAGTTAATGAATGATAATATACAATTGTTTCAAAAAATGGTGCAGCAAAATGTTTTCTTCTGATATATGCATTCAGTGATGCTGTTCACCTTTGATATAACTCGACGGCTTTTAAACATGGGCTTAAATGCAGCGATTACTTGGAAAAGATATGTCACCTGGGACCAAAAAGTGGAGAAATCTAGAAGACATATGAATACTAGTCATTATTTTCACAAATTCTCAGAATTCTACATAAGCTTAACAAGAAAACCTATATTTGTTCAACTATTTAATGGATATGCTATAATAAAGTTTGTTCAGCTTTGTTCAGTATTTAGTAAAATCTTTAAATTATTTAAATTCTATCCATGTAAGTTTGTCTTCTCGTCTCACCTGATCTGTAAATAAAGGTTACGGTGAATCATTAGGACTTGTGAGCCTGTGTTACTATACAAACTAACTACTAGGCTAAAAGGTCAGTCTATCATTAGTTGGATATATGTTGGTCAGACTATCTGATCAGGTCATAGTCCGATAGACTGATTTTATTGCAGAGGGATGAAGATTGTGTGGGTCCATCCATATGTGGATAAAATATATGAAAAATATGGGTAAATTGAAGAATGAAGCGCATACAACGACTGTCCTTTGATCAATATCTCAGGAATCAAAATATTTTCATCTGAGGACCTAGCCGTCATGATACATGTAAGTCATAAGATGACTAATCAGTTCATGGAAAACTTTCAAATTTAAATTTATACTACTCATTAACAAAAGACAAGGAAATATTTCCTCAGGTAAAAAAAACAGTACATATTTTTCAGTAGAAATAAATACAAGCACACAAATGCAAGTGTTGTGCATAGGAATGTTTTAAAATATCTTGTAAGTTAACTGGTATTAAAGATTAGGTTGGTAATTTATGAAGTTACAATTGATTTGACAACAGTTCTCACTATGAAGTGCCCCCCCCCATTTGACGTCTGTTGGCAACCATGAAGTACTAAAGACTTATTATTACTCAATAGTGATACCTAAAATCCATACACAGCTGTCATGAAATATGAAGTGAACACTTCATAGGATGACCACTGACTTTGAAATGGTCTTCCAACTCTGTTTGATTTTCGATGGTCATCTGACTAAGGTTTGTCTAAATGTGCAAAACAATATACTCCTAGTGTAACGGTAGAAGACGAAGACTTGGTAAAGGAATGTCCATTAGCAGTTTGGTATCTCAATGCAGCCAAATTATGTACACCTTATCTTCAAATCAGAGATCTTCCGTGTTATGTTACGTCAGGCCTTCATACTGTGTTTCTCTGTGTTCGTTTCACGTCTCCCATGTATCACCACAACGTTGTATCATTTGCTTTCTATGACATCAAATGTATCTCCTTGCCATTTGATGTTTTTTTTGTGCTAATGAACTTCTCTTTACATATATACTAATCACAAAACTTATCAGTAGCACACGCCACACCAGAAGTGTGTAAATTGCATAATTATTTGCAAATGGCGAATTCAGTTTAACGTATGTTTAATATAAAAGGTGGCTTAGCATGAGCCAACAAAATTTAAAATTGCTGCAGCCAACAAGTGAAAAAGAAATTACCTTAAAGTTACAATTGTTTAGGTCTTCTATACGGCTTTCACAAGCTTCCATTATCTTTTAGGTTGGTACTTTAGACTAATTGCAAAATGTGGGCAAGCAGTTATACTGAAAACTTGTAGAATACTAAACCATTATTTTGTAAGTGTTAATTTGAAATTTCACTGTAACAAGATGTTAAAGTGAAACTTCAAGCGTTTTTATCGTAATGCTACCGAATTATACGCAAGTACTACACCTTAAGACACTCACAGGTATGTAATAATAAGTTCGAAGGACAAATTAAAATGATCACAGGTATGATCTCGAGTTGACATCAATTAGAGAAACCAGTTACTCGCCTATGAAACTAACTAGTGGCTGCGCTATATATATCGCAAATTGGTAGAAGCTGGAACTCACAGGCCACTGGATCGGGTCCCAGAGGCTGAATGGTCTACCAGCTCGGCTTGTAACTGGAACTACCTGGATTCGAACCCCAGTGGATGTGCATTGTTAAAGATTCCCAAACTAAGGTGAAATGACTGTCCAGTACTCCCTAGTTTTCCAGTGGCTCTCTAAATGATACCAGCTTGTGATCAGACCTATAACCAATCACATCCCTGCAAACCAACACTTGAGAATTAATATGAAACGATCAGAATGTAATACAATCATACGAAAAAAGTAACAAAATTTAACCCTCGTTTACGAAGAACAAAAATTCACTCATTTTTATCACAATATGGCACACATGTGTTGAATTTTTAAGCGAATTAACAAGCGAAATAAGTGCAATCATCCAGAAAGTTTGTTTGAACTTTAAAAATAATCTTTTCTAAGCCAGTTTGAATTTCTGTTAAATCATCAATGGAAGGAATTGAGAATGGCTGTTAGTGAACGTTGTTCATAAACTTAGACTCAGTGAAAATTACCTGATGTTTTCAAATTATTGTGATGCCTTTTTCTTATTGTCTTTCTCCGGCTCTGTATTTCTGATACATATATACATACATATTAGCTAATATGTTGGGATTTACCCTAAATTTCCAATTACTGTTTGGAGTGAATGTTGATAAGAGAGAGAGAGAGAGAAATGACCAAATTTTACTAGCGCCACACATCTTTAACATATCTTACCCATACATCCGTATAATCATTCGCAACAATAGCGGTACCCAAGCAACGTGCTGGATTCAAACCACTCCCAGAATATCTAGCCTGAAATAAAAGATGTCGAAAAGACGGTGAGACAACTCATTTATTATTTATTTATTTCTTTATTTTCAAATCATTATTATTAATAAACTGAAATCACTGTGGAAATCTACTGGATTCATCAAGATCAGACATTTGCGGAGAACACTATTCTGTGACATCTCATAGCAAGTCCTTGAACAGAAACTGAATGAGAAACTACTAGCTGGACGTCCGAGACTGACATGTATAACATCGAATGAGGTGGAGGAAATGAAAGTCTGTGGGCAATAGTGGAGCCAGATAAAAAGAACTTCAGAGAACCGAGTGAAATGGAAATGCGCCGCTGAAGCCCTTTGTTTCGCTTGATACTCATGGAGATAATAATAATAATGGCACTAATTACCACTTTCTACTGTCTTTTCATTCGACTTCTGTCAATTGAAATTGATAAAAAGCGTATATATATATATATATATATATATATATATATATATATATATAATTAATTAGGTGATTTGCTGAAGAAAAATGAGTGTATGAGCTAAGTGAATAATGCTTTTGACATTTGATTCCACGAATATCTAAATAAAATAGTGTCTGGAGTTCCTGGTAAATTTAAAGATTCTGAATATCAATTTGGATTTACACACTGACAGTTTAATATGGATTTATGAATACAAATCACAAATTGGGTGTGAATAAACCTCACTAGCCTTCAGATATCAAAATTCTGTTCAGTTTTCTGCTGATATCTTTCTTATTGCATTCATATACTAGTCAGTGCACCTTCTTTTTGAGATTAATTTAAAAATTTTCTCCAATGAAATCTAAGGCATTAAGAGAACAACTATTGGAACAAGTAGTCACAAGAAATACTTGGATGATTAACTGCAATAACCTAATTTTAACAGCTAAGAAATAAAAACGACTTTTCCAAATGCTTCCTGGGAAACATACCATCCTCAGATGAGTATGAGTAAGTCAGTAAGTGGTTTGAAGACTTCGTGTGAAATAGCCTACAAGAAGAGTTGTCATATGAGATGGTGTATCCTAAAAAGCGAAATAAGCAGATTTGTATGTCAAATACATCACTTCTGGGAAGCGGACATGTTACTGAGAGCAATATGGAAGAAATTAATCCAAAATGGAAGTGTACTTTAACACAGTACTCTAATTTTACTGTTACACTAGTACAAACAAACACATCATTTTATCTCAGTGAGCTCACTAATTTAACAAAGAGGACATATGGATGCAGAAAGTTGATATTTATAGGCTAAACTGAGATCTTAAAATTAGTCTTAAAAAGGGAAGATGGTGATTTTTAATCCTAGTAGATGCATCAATTTTCATATAAATCCAGTCAAAGGACGCTAACACATACGCATTCAAACAAAACCGGAAGTAAAACGATTGAACTGATCACCTATAATATACCTAAAAGTAGCCTTACTTCACTTTACTAAATATTTTAAAATTGGATCAAAAAACAAGATGGGAAGAGTAAATATGGAATTAGTTTCAGCTGGAAAAATACTTTATTGAACACTAGTACCAAATGAGATTACATTATGCAGTATTCAATAATTATTGACCAACTTACCAATATTCCAACTAATAAGGCATGTACGACACCCATTTGAAATGGTAGGCTAACAAATAAACCAGCTGTCCATGTTGATGGTCGAAATTCATCAGTTGTAGCTAGAATAGCTAATACAATTGCCATTCCACCGAAAAATTCAAAAGCAACAGCATTTCCTTGTGATACTATTGGATTTTTTGCTACAACACCAAGTTTATCCACTTGTGATAAACTGCTAGGCAGCAAGGCTTTACCAATTAATGCGCCTAGAATTGCACCAATTATCTGAGCGATTATACACAATACAGCATAAACTATTGATAATTTTCGTATAAATAAGAATGCTATGGTTACAATTGGATTAATCTGTGCACCACTGATCGGACCAAATATCCAGACAATCCATGAAAAGGTTAAAAAGACAATTATACAATCTGGTACTGGATTAGTAATCGGTGGATAGGTATACAGCACCGCAACAAAACATAACGTCCCTGTACCGATTAATTCAGAGACGAATATACGAAACATAAAATAGAAATCATATGTTGAACATTTTGGGAATTTATCCATTGCTGGTTTTATTGAGATTGGTAGATTTTGTACACAATTTGTTCTAGTATTTTCATTTGTCATTGCATATCTTTCCGTGAAACACTTACACAGTATATGTTGACGAAATGTTTTCTAAAAATGTAAAATGTAAATACATATATATATATATTTTAGGAATTTATAGAAAGCGCAAACATACTGTATCCAATGTGCAAAAATTAACATTGAATAAATAAATAACTCATAACTGTTATTAAGCTCATCATTACAGCTAAGTATGCAGAAATTTTGAAATGTATAAACATTGTAGCTTTACAATACATAAAGGCTTATTTACCCACTTGACATTTTATTTTGGAAACTGATTTCGACTTTGAACTATGCGTAGATAACTACTTAGTGTATGAAATTTCATAAACAAAGTATAAGCTGATTAATACACAATATTAAGTAGTTTTTTCATATAGAGAATGAGTAAAGTCGGTTGATTTTATGAAAACAATTATGATACAAAAAAAATAATAGAATAACTACTTGAAGATATGGAGTTGACATTGAATATTGTGTACCTTATCACAGCTTGAATGAAAAAAAGGTAAGAGTCATTGAAACTCAACCGGATAAGAGCTAGAAATTGTAGTTTTTATAAGAATGTAATTTTACGATAAGGTATAAAAACCACCGTTTACTTGATTGTGTACTAAAATGTTTTGTATGGTATCTGGAAACATCAACTGAACACAGATATGTTTAAATTTTCAATGAAACTGATTGAGAACAGTTTAACTGACAGGTGGTATATCTCAGATGGAAATCAAAACAATGAGTAATATTATGGCGAATATAAAGGAAGGCAAACGGATCACAGAATCCACCGTGGTTTATAATTCCGGTCCTCTTTAAAATATATTACACCGATATAAAGGCTATAGTGACATTTTCAAGTATTGGTTTTTTTAGGGATTTTGTTTGATTGGTTACAGGATTTCATCACGAGCTGACATCACTTAGAGAACTATTAGAAAATCTGGGAGCACTGGATATCCAGCTGTTTTGTCCTAGTTTGGAACTCTTTGGCAGGACACACCGACCGGGGTTCGAATCCAGGACCTTCTGGTTACAAGGCTAGCGAGCTCGTAGACCATTAAGCCACTGGGACCAGAAAGTCCTGGGTTCGAACCCTGGTGAGCGCATACTGCTGAAAAGTCCTGAACTAGGACAAAAGAGCTAGATATCCAGTACTCCCAGGTTTTCCAATGGTTCTCTAAGTGATGTAAGCTCATAATGAAATCCTCCAATCTATAATGAAATTCTTAAAGCATTTAATGGATCCTTATTTCCCAAAAGAAAGTCTGTCCAAATTTTTGTAGAATTTTGAGAAAAAACTGAAGCGAAGGTATCAACGGAACAATACTTAATGACTCATTTTGTTACGGACTAGGGATTGTTGAATAAAATCTTTTACTAATTTTTCAGATCAACCAACATTTGTGAACATGTTCAGTGCATATTTTGAAGCTGATCTACAGTCATGAATAAATACACCTGACTGTAAGTATACCAATAGTCAACATAATCATCATGATTTTTAATCATCACCTGCGTTAATTGTTCTGAAACTGGTTACAGTCTGAGCGAATAAAAAGTGGTTATCACATCATTTTAGGTAATGTAAAACGCTCGCATTCATTTGTTTGACATCAGTTTGATATAGACAGTTTACGAGGTACATTATCGTTAAAAAGAGCCTCTTTGTTTATACCTAATCAATAGAAAGTAAATCTAATAGTTTTCTCCTTAACTCATTATTAAAGGATCAGCTTTAAATGTAATAAAAATCGTTATCTTTCCATTCCTTTGCCTTTCGAATGAAACACAGAGCTTTGTCCTTCAAATGTGAAGTTTCAATAGCAGTGATGGTCGTTTACTGTATGGGGTCGCCAGTATTACGCCCAACTTTCCCTTCTATCAAGGCTTTCTATCAGTTGGTAACTTAGGTGAGGTATAGGAAAGTGTCGGCCAGAAATTGTATCCAAACGACATGCCAAAACTATGTTCACTAGAAAAAGTTATCAAATTGGAATCGATACAGATAGTTGTGTATGTCAGGTATATAGCTCAAATATCACAGATGTACCAATGTGTTAGGCATAGGTGAGTTTTTTTAATTTTAAGAAAACGACGGGATAAAATAGTTCAACATCAGTTTGTTTGTTGGAGATATGGAACAATGAAACGTCACTATTTACTGATTGAGTTTTTATAATGACATCTAAAGTGATTATATTTAAAATGTGTTCAAAAGGGAATTCGGTAAATAATACTATTTCACTGTATGATGTGCGTAAGAAACGACCTCTTGTAGATTTATGTATCACCCCACTGCCAAAGCCATGTATACATTGAAGAAAGTAGCATTCAACATCCACAAACATGATCACCTTGTGTCAAACTTTTAGTGTTTTCACTCTAAATTCCATGAACCCCTAACTCAAGTTTACAGTTTAAACACAATACAATAAAAGGCGTAAAAAAGCTGTAAGGTATGTCTGTATTACTTGAAATACATAGTGGTACTTGCTTTGTTGCAATCGACAGTAGAGTCCAACTTTCAAACTTCATCCATCTCGAGACTGATTAGCTGGGTTTACCAGCATTTCCAGTAAATGATGGTAAGACTGGAAACCGACATCCACTGTCTGAAATGCCATTATCAGTGAAATGACATCATGCTATCCTTAAGGTCTCAGCGAAGTATCTATACTAGGGAATGAGCATTTTTGTTTATTAAAACCAGTCAATGAGGAATTCAAAATAATTTAGCAAATACAATACTTGAAATCTACTTATCTTGAGCTAGGTGGAAGCTCTACACATTTGGAGACTCGAAGAATAAAGAAAGCAAACTTTAACTGCCATCTTTGTTTTACTTCCGTAAAAATTGAAAGGAAAGAGGGAAATTTCAGTCAAAAGACCTTAGAGACATCAAAGTAAATATGTTTGGAGAACATTTATCCCTTCTCAAAAAGGAAAATTTATTGATTTCTGAACTTTTCATTTTTGCGAATGCGTCTGTGCTGATGTTTTTACGGATACATGTATGCGATTTCAAAATAAACAATCAGCTTCATAAAACCAAGAGCAAGTTGTACCTGAAAATTCAAAATTCTAAAATAGATGGCATTTTACGGTTTAATTATTAATGTTACAGGATTTCATCATGAGTTGACATAGGTTATAGAACCATTGGAAAACCTGGGGGTACTGGACAGCTGCTGTTTCGTCCTAGTTTGGGACTCTTCACAGTACACTTCCACTGGGATTCGAACACAGGGCCTTCTGGTTACAAGGCGAGCTCGTAGACTGTTTAGCCACTGGGACCCGATCCAATGGCCAATGCATGAATTCTAACTTCTGTCAATTCAAGACAATGTCTTCGGCGAGTATTTGTCCTCACATCCTACCTGCTGCACCCTACTGTTCATGTCGTGAGTTGGCAGAAGTTAGAATTCATGCATTGGCCTTTGGATCGGGTCCCAGTGGCTTAATGGTATACGGGTTCGCTTTGTAACCAGAACGTCCTGCGTTCGGATCCCAGTGGATGCGCACTGCTGAGGAGTCCCAAACTAGGACGAAACAGCAGCTGTCCAGTACCCTCAGGTTTTCCAGTGGTTCTATAACCGATGTCAACTCATGATGAAATCCTGTGACCAAATCAAATCCCTACAAACCAACACTTATTAATGATTGAATCTCTCATCATAAAATTAAGACATTCCTGATCAAAAACTGAAATCAAATGGATGACTACTGGTAACTGAATAGGACAAGATCATAATTTTAGTTACGGCCACATTTACGTCTCGCTGTGAAATATTATCTAATACAATATGATGAATTTTACCTTATTTTTTTAATTTTTGATTACAACTTGATTCCACACCGTATTTTTGGTACAGGAATGGAATTTTCAGCATGTGATATCGGTAGCCCAAATTTTGCAGGCCGACCATTGATATCAGGTGTTTGTCGGTGGGAAATCGAACCCCGGACCATGTACATGGTTGGCGAGAGTGCTAACCACTGTACCCCGGGCGCATTTTACACTCTCTATATATTTTTTTCTCTATAAAACAACAAACAGGACCACTGTAAACACTCATATTATGAAGAAAAAACAAATTTACAATCTTCTGAATGATGAACAGTAAGAAATTTCTCACATGTAACATATCATATGTATTTTTTAAAAATCTTCCTACCAAACATTTGTAAAACAAACGAAGAATTAAATATGCAGAAGAACTTTGAACCATGTATCATACAAATCAGCTTTTATATTTACACACTCTGACTGATGATTACTATTACGTAAGATTAGACGAAAAAAAAACAGTCAACTGAACATTTCTGAAAACAATCTTGTTCTACTCTGCTTATTCATTAGCCAAATTTAAAGTAATTCATTTATGTGAAAAAAGAAGAGTTTACCCTGAACAGCTCTGAGAGTTTCTGCTGTTATAACCACTTTTAAAGTATAATGCATTTTATGATAAGGGAATTAAATAGTTTATCTGTGAAATGAACCGTTACGTGATGGTCTTTTATACAATCGTTTACAATGGTTTACCAACCGATGTTAGCTCATAATGAAATCCTGTAACCAACCAATCAAATCCCTATAAACCAATACTTGAATATCAAAAAGATGCTCACTAGCGACTGGCCCTATTTAGGTAGGTCTTATTGGAAAGTTGTGACCAGTAGGGTGCAGCAGGTCGGGTGTGAGGTTAAACACCCGTCGGCAATGACACTGGCAAGCGGTCGGGCTATACTGTGAATTGGTGGAAGTTAGAATTCATGGGCCAGTAGCTTAAAGTTCTACAAGCTTGCTAGCTTTTTAACCAGAAGTTCCTGGGTTCCAACCCTGGCGGTGGATGTGTACTGTGAAGAGTGCCAAACTAGAACGAAACAACTGGCTGTCCTGTACTCCCAAGTTTTACAATGATCCTCTAACCGATGTCAGCTCATGATGAAGTCCTGTAACCAATCAATCAGATCCCTACAAACTAATACTTAAAAATAAGTTAGGGGATGAACATTAGACATTACCAACTACTTTAAATAGAATGTGAGTTATTTCTCTTTGGATAATATGAAGTTATCCAATAAGCACTTTGGCATAAATTAGTCTTAAAATTCTGAGTTCGGGAAAATTCTGTTGATTTCGGAGTATATTATGTCACTAACCGATTTGAATTAGTAAACCACTGAAAACCAAGGAGAACTGGTCAGCCAATTTCGCTTATCTAGGGACTATTCA